GGCGTCCCTCGCCGAGCAGGCCTACGACTACGCCTTCGTGCACGTCAGCGCCGCCGACGAGTACCCCGCCGTGTGCCGGACGCTGTTCCGGCGCCGCCAGCAGAAGCAGCGGGTGAGCAGGCCGTACCCGCCGGAGCTGGCCAAGAGAGAGGAAGCGCTGCGCCGCCTCTGCACCATCGCCCTCGACATCATCTCCCTGCTGCAAAATCAGGAGCCCCAGTAATGTAATTGTCAGTCGGTTAGTGTCGATGTTCATGCATAAGAGTACGTAGTGAAATGGACCAATGATCATTGATCAAGCATCTCTACATAGGAATCCTGCCTCCAAAAGCCGGCAAACCATCGTGCCACGTCGTCGCAAACCCGTTAACCGTTGGATCAGGCGAGCACGCGATCGGGTCCCTCGCCCGCTTTATCGTCGACCCGAGCCATCGCGAACCTTCGTCGCGGGCCGATTCTTTGGCCGCTCCCCTCGCCCTCGACTCCCGCACCTCCCTCCTCCTCCCGGCGCGGGCGGGGGCGCGGCGTTCCCGGCGCGGGTGGGGGCCCCAGCGGCCCCGGCGACCCCCGCGCACGTCGCTCCGGCCGCCGACGCACCCGCAGCGGTGCTAGCGTACGTTCTGTCCTCCGCGCCGGCGGAAGCCGCGGCCTCCGCACTGGCGAGCCGCGCAGCTGTGGCCGTGGACTACCAGCACGGGCACCGCGTCACGGGTGCGCCCTCGACGACGTGAGCGCGGTCCACCGTTGGAGCGGTGCGGGGGCGAGCCGAGCTTTTCTTCGCAGCACGTGACGCCGTTGCGGGGATCAAGCGCCCCCGCTCCTCCTTAGCGCCCGCTTGGCAGCACCACCACGCGCCGCGAGCTGCCGATAACGGCAATCCAGGTGAAGCCACGGAAAGGGGCGTGCAGGCTGGCCGGCTGGCCATGCCCGGCGGCCCCCAAGCCGAAGGGGACGGCAGCAACGGCATCCCGTCCACCTAAATTGGCGTTCACTGCCCCGGCAGCACTCACCAACGCTGGACCGGATGTGACATCAATAGCGCACAGGTGGTGTTCGACGGAATGCCCATGAGGCAATGAGGTAAACAGCCATGAATCGATGCTTATCCGGGCTGTGTTTGAGACCTTCTTTTGCAGTACTGCTTCTAGCCAGTCCTCTTTGATATTCACTGTGATGCTTGTGCCTGTCTCATGTATTGTTAATTTGAAGATGTCTAAAACAAACTGATCTTGCAAAGCAGAAACATAAGCTTTGAGGATGATCAGTCTTAAGTTATTGTTGACTTTTCATCCCTAAGACATTGTTTTAGAATTAGAATGAGATGGAAATTCATATTTGCTTCATATTTTTTGTTACCAAGCCTAGCTGTTTGTGAAATTCTTTTGCATGCACATAGCCTCTTACCAAAATATTACAGAAATCAATAGGATTAGATATGGCAAGATGCCAACACATGTTTCCTTCAGCTATCATAGATTTTTTTTACTGATAAAATACATGCTTGATGACTGCTTGTCTAAAATTTGTGAAATTAAGATGGAATTCCTATTTGTTTAATATTCTTTGTTTGCAAGCCCAGCTGCTGTGAAGTTCTTTTAGATGCACAAAGCGCAGATGTTGAGGAGATAGTCGTATGGTGTAGGAGTCACTACACGCAGTAGTTGTATGCCTTCAATCAGTGGGTGCTTCAATCATGATCGTGCATTAGCAATGTCTTGTAGTACTGTATGTATGTATAGCTTCAGTCAATGAGGACAATGTGGTACTATTTAGCAGTGCCATGTAGTAGATTGTATGGCTTCAGTCAAGGACCTATATCAGTAATTCAGTATGCTATGGAATGGATGCTTATGTTGCCTGCGACACAAGCATTCATTACCTCCTAGACAGTCTCCCCATTCTTAGGCAGTCAAGTTTAATGCATCACCCTTCAAGTACTCTAGCTCTTCATCATTCATTAAAGGTTATACAAGACATTTTTGTGCTGTGCCACTGAAAGAAACTTAGTGATGCATACTTATGCATGGCCTCAGTTTTTATGACAATATCTGTGAGATATGCTTAGTTTCAGAAAATATTGTTCTCTTATAAAACTATGATCTTACAAAACTTTTATATGACCATCAGCACTTAAATTTATTGATGCATTGCTATATTGAATTGTATCCCATAGATGGAGTTGCTACTGGGCACATTTGGAACTCAACTCATCTTTATTTGAAACCTTCTAATTTTCTAAACCAACAAGTGAAAAATAAAAAGGTAAATAAGTAATAAAAAAAGCATCTCTGGCTAGACCAGGTTATAGCTTAAGCTCCACCATCACTTTCGGTTCCACATGATATTAGCAAAGTTCCCTTCCACATGAGACAAATGTATCACGCTTATCCTATTCTCCAATCTTCATAGTTCTGATTGAGTAAACCTAAAGTATACTGCCCATAATTGAAACTCAGTATAGGCATACAGCCAAAAAAAAACATATTCTGATTGTTTTTCCCTGTTACACACTTGCAACGACTATTCAACAAGCAGGAACATGGAAATAGAAGACAGACTTGGAACAGAAGGGTTATATAGCTATTGCATGCTGCAGTCATTATATATAGGAGTTCTAGCACCTTTGTGTATCTCCATGTGGGGCCCGTGGTGTCCGTCGTATATACTGCAATATACACAAAATCAGATCAATGAGATGTTGACATGTCTTCTTTGGTTATCACGAGTTCTTCTGAATCGCTATACTATCTAGGCCTACCACGTATTCTGAACTTCCTTTTCTCTATTCAAGTTGATATAGCCATTATCCTTTCTTGAGAATGATTTCCTCAACCAGGCTATACACAATGTGTATGGAATCCGGTCCTGTTCGCCTGCAGCGGCTGGCTGAAGTATCGCAGGCTGGTGCAGGCCCGACACAGGATCATCCGCGCGGCAATGCCGCGCATGATTTCTAGTGCATGTCATGAGTCGTGGTCGTGCAATGCAGTGCCGACACGAATACGACATGAATAGCTGTCCGCGGAATGAAAAAGGTTGCTCACGGACTGTTTTTTGCGGACGGGCATTGGCACAATTTGTCTCTACCTCTTGGACTCAACCACCTCCTCCCTCCTCACTCCTCCCTCGGTGCAGCACATCTTTTTCTTTTTACCCGAAAGCACAATGATGCTTTGCTTGCATCATCAGGAAGAAATCACTTGTGAGGATCCAATGAATACCTAAGAATCTCCGGCAAGCATGACTGAGAGAGTAGCTAAAGAACAGATGGAAAGCCGTCTCTTCAATGTTGTTATTGCATAGGACATAATTGTAGTCGGTGCACATCTCGTTTTATATTTTGAGTAGTAATTTAAAAACGCCCGTTGCAAGGTAACCAATACATCTTGAAATCAGAAGTATTATCGCTAGATGCAATTTGTTCTAACTCATATGATCATGGATCATGAGCCGGAGCCACGTACAAGACACGAAACATGCGAGGGAAGTTTTTTTTAGAATAAAGAAAGACATGATAAAAGAATTTTTTCATTCTTTAATATTAGGTATATATATAGATTACTTTTTTCTTTAATATAATATAATACTACTAGCCAACATACCTACGCTTTACAACAGAACCAACAGTTTAGTCATAATACGTTTTGGAATGGAACTCTCTATCGTGGTTTTGTTGGTCAACGAATAATTATAATAGATAACACAAGTATCTACTAGCAAATAAACATCACAAAAAGTCCATAAAATATTTAAACAATTTCAATGTAGACACCGTAGGGTAAAGCATGATTTTAGAAAAAAAAATTTGGAACTTGTTTAATAATTTTCTAAGATAAACCATTTTTTGTGATTTTCCTCATATTATACTAAATTATAGGATTTTTAATCGCATAAATTCTACAGGAAAACTATTTGATAAATTTTCAAAAAAATATAGTCCGATTTATACCACCTAAAGTATCAAGTTTAATTTATCCCATCGCAGCTGACATAGTGTGGTTGACGTATTCTACAGGAAAAATATTTGATAAATTAAAAAAAACATTTATAGTCCAATTTACCACCTAAACTATCAATTTTAATTTATCCCTCGCATGGATGACGTAGTGTGGTTGACGTGGCACTCACGTTACACAAAGCCATAATCCAAAAACAGTCATGAGAAATGGCTTTAAAATTTAAGAAGCTTAAAAACTAGGTTTTTATAAATGAGGTACAAAGTTTAGACTACCGTAATAGCAGAGAGATATTAAAGGAGAGTGTTAAATGGACTTTTTTTCTAGAGAATACAATTTTTTAAGAAAAAAATTCTATCTGATCTCCCTCAGGTACTATGCAAGTCTAATTTGCCTCCCTCAATTAGAAAATCGGCAAAATCCTGATCTATTATTAGAATTTATTAGAAAATTTATTTTGATTTAGAAATATATTTTTTAAAACATGCTCGATGTTTTTGTTCCTTGCTTAAAATTGTTTCCTTTTTTATTAATAAAATTACTCATATCTCAACGGAGGCCCAGTCCAACTGCGAATCAAGAGAGCAATTTTGACCGAAGTACCCCATCCCATGGCCTACATAGTCTAAAAAGGCCCGCTCTTGCTCTATTCTATGGGCCAGACCCAATGATGCAGTGCCTATAAGCAAGAAGGGCCCACTAAAGGGCAGTTGAAGCTGGGCCTAGCAGGCTAGCAGCTAGCACGTGGTGGTGACGGCGACGGTGGGGGGAGACTGAGCGGCCGAGGAGGCGGCGCGGCATCTGTGCATCGCTCATCGCGCATCGCGCATCGCGGCGGCCCGAGGCCGCGAGCAGCACAGCAGGGCGCGCCAGGCGCCGGCGCGGCACGCGGTACCGCGCGACGGGCGAGCGCGCGGCCGGTCTCAGCGCCACGACGCATCAAAGCCGGCGCTAGACAGGGCGCTATCGCACTGCTGCGCAGCTGTGCCTGCGCTGGGCCCTGGAGGATTGGTGACAGCACTCGCCAATTTGTGTTTTGCAGAAATGGGAGAAATCAAGTAAGTACATATAAATGCGGTTCCATTTCACTGATTCAGTTAGCCCCTATTTTGATTCACAGTTTCCAGTTGTAGATAAAAAATGCAGATTGTTTAGCATCATTCTCTGCAAGACTATAATTCGTTATGTAGATTGCAGATTGTTATTTATCATACTGCCTGTTAATCATGCTCTAGTGAAGATTAATTGGTGTCCCGCATCATCTATTGATTTGTCATGGACAAATCACATATTTTACCTCTCCGAGCGATGTATTCTGGATTGTTCAGCTATGTTTTCATGTGAAACTGCTTTAAATTCCTATGTGGGTCTTGTATGGGACATTTGAACTCAGGTGGGCCCATGACTACCCTATCCTCTCCTCCATAGCTGTCGCAAGTTCTATCTCCGCCTCATCCGTGGACGGTGCTGCTTTGGCTTAAGGCAAGCAGAACCTCTCCCGAATCTACCATTGCTTAGTTTTAGCCATTAGCCCGTTAGGGTAAGGGTTTGTTGTTTCTAGACCAAGTTAGCGAGTCCACTGGTGGATTGGGAGCATATCAACCTTTTTTTTTCTTATTACCCAACCACTACATATGAGGACTTTGTCTGATCAAATTTGCTTTTGTTCCCGTTTCACCTAATCATATGAGGACTTTGGAGGAAAAAGCTGGGATATTATTTTTCGCATGTTACGGGGTGCTTGCAGTAAAGGTGGTTAGATTACTTGGGAACAAGTAGTTCAATTTTGATAAGCATTGGGTTCTCTGAAGTTATGGGCCTCAATCAATTCTGATAAGTGTTGGAGCACAAGTTCTGTTCTGTTCAAGTTAAGGGCAACTTACTTCAAAATGGCAAACAAATGAAAAGAAATATAAAATAAAACAAGTTCTGTTCTATTTATGAAAGTTCTAATTATATGCTATATGTACAAACAACTTCACAACTGGCCAGGAAGCTTCAAAGGTTGGCAATGGAGATGAGGGCCGGGAATCTGTAAGCACGTCAAAGGACCTAACTGGGGAAATCGCACCTTATGCCACCGCCCTACATGATGTGTTCCTCCAGTCCCATTGCTCATCGTGCTTCACCAAGTTACTGCCACAGCCCCCTGTGTAGTTTCTTGCACGATTTGCTGTTCTCTTCGATACTGCTGTTCAGAGTGCTTTGGTGCAGATTCAGCAGTGCATTTTTCTTCTGGTGAATGTTGCTTCTTTGTGGACCACCTCAAGAGAGCCTCCCCTTCCTATGTTAGTGAAGGAACCAGTGATTTGCGTGCTGCCCTCCGCCTTCTTTATGTGCTTGAGATGCATGGTCTTGCTTCGTCTGATTCAATCGATAAGTACAGTAGAATTGGTGGACTTTCAGCAAGTGGTATTGAGAAAGTTTTGGAGGAAGGTGAGGTTATTGCTGAGAGGATACTGGAGGGGAGCTTATTGATGTCATCTGCCAGAAAATCAAGGGCACAGACTTCTTTTATTTTTTCCGATAGGCTTAAACTTGAGAAGATGGCATTATGGGCAGTGATTATCAATAGTGTTGAGGTGCAACTTAGTGAAGGATTAGCTATGGGAGTTGCAGTGTATGGCCCAAGCTTCTCATGGTTCAACCATAGTTGCTTTCCCAGTGCTTCTTACCGGTTTGTACTGGCTCCAAGGAATGAAGACTATGCTTCACAGAAATCAAAATCCTGTGTAGTCCCTGCTAGCAAAGGAGTTGCAGCTGATGTGGTAAAGGAAAATAATGACCACTTTGTTTAGGACCTACTAAACTTTTGCTTGTATCAATTCATATAAAGAGTAAGATAAAATATTTGAATACTGTTCACAACATACTTTCATTATCATAAACAAGTGTTATTTGAATGTTTATACAGATATATGGTTCCCAAAAACTTCTTTGACCACCAATTGTTCAAACTTTAAATAGTTGGAATCAAACAACACTTGTTTGTGACAATAAATTCAATTGTAATGTATTTGTAGAATAAAAAATGTAATAACATGAAAATATCTTTCGAGTATATGCCATTTTCACATGCTGAATCTAAATATTTATGAAGATACTTATGTTTAAAATTTCAAAAGTTTGACTACACACATTCTAGTTAGACAATACTTACTTATCTAGTATTTACTTTGAGACAACATCGTGAAGTGTATTATTGTGTTTGTTTTTATTGCAGTGGCATGCTTGGCAATATGAAGAAGATCATTCTACTCATGGTACTTCATTACATTTGACTTTCACGTGCAACTGTTAAATTCATCACTCTAAACTTTCTCCGTAACTCTTTCTAGCACTGTGCAAATATGGCCCAAGAGTTGTTGTTCGTTGCATAAAACCAATTAACAAGGGAGATGAAGTTTGCATAACATACATTGATATTCTCCAGACCAGGGTACTATTTCTTGAATTTTTCTGAACCCATATTTGTATGTTTTCCCTGACACATTAAGTCAGTATATCCATGATATTATAGATCTCCATATATATGTTTCCAAGAATCTAATCAAGGTTTACTTGTGCAGTTCATTGTAGTGTGTGCTACTTGAGTTACTGTCACGCCCAGTATTTAATGTTTACATGACCGATATATCATATTTGCCCTTAATTTTAGAATTTTGGACTGTAATTTAGTACAAAATTATCAAAGGACATAACAGGTCTCACTCAGTTTTGGTATTTTTGTTTCTTTTGAGCAGCTGTTGTTTGTTGATACATGATACAGTGCCCTGATTAGTAGTGTATTGTTTGTTTGCTTATGCAAAAAATTATCTTTACTCACACGATTACACCTACTGTATTCTGCAAGTTACACACCAACGTCTAGTGCATAGCTACGCAACTTGATAAAATTGTCAACTTGTTTTGAGAACTTTGGTTTCCTTGCTTTTTAGCAGAGGAAAGCAAAATGTTGACTACCCCCATTAAGTAATCTGCTGCTCTCCTCTGTCTGCAGCTTGGTAAGGGCAAAGGCCGAAAGGGCTCCCTATTCTTTGAGTCATAGCTGAGGCAAAGGCCGAAGGCTCCCCGCATGACCTGTAGCCACATACAATGAGGGCGCCAAAGTCGATCCTGTTTGTCACATCTAGTCACTTTGTATGCAACATGATGACTGGCATATCGTGTACTAGGATTAGATAGGTAGAGTTGTATATATAGCTTTCCACTTTGCAACTCAAGTAAAGTGGCGAGTTTATTTTGCCATCTTCTGCAGAGCTCCGCCATATTTGGTGCTTGTCTTTGTGTGTGCGCCTGTTTCTCCTCTCTTCTACCTCTAGCCATAGTGTGTAGGCGGCGAATGTGGTGGTCGGCTCACCGTGTGGAAGATCCAGGGGCCAACAAGTGGTATTGGAGCCGTACAAAGCGCGTCGCCGGACAAACCATTGGCGATGATGGACGGTTTGGAGATGGGCGACAATGCATATGGCCGCTGTGTTGTACGCCTAGCCACGATAGGAGGTCGTCGTGCGCACGATCGCGGGAGGTCGGCGACACCCGGTTGGCGACATCGACTCGCACCAACTATGGCGAGTGGGCGGTGACCATGAAGGTCAAGCTCGAGCCAAGCGGCTCTGGAATGCTATTGACAAGGGCACCAACAACGAAGAAAGGCGACATGTCGGCGTTGGAGGCTATCCTCATTTCTTTGTGCCGGTAGTCTGAGGGAGCCGTTGGGGGCGAAGAACTCTGCTAAGGAGGCGTGAGAGGCCATTGCAGCGATGCGCGTCGGCTCCAACGGCGCAAAGGTGACGGCCCAGCTGTTGAAGCAGGACTACGTCACCCTCAAGTTCAAGGATGGTGAGTCGGTGGAGGACTTCTCCCTCCGTCTGCAGTCACTCATCAGCAAGCTGAGGAGTCATGGCGTCACCATCGACGAAGAAGAGGCGGTCTCCAAGTACCTCCACTCCGTGCCGGTGAATTACATCCAGATCGCTCTCTCTATAGAGACGATGCTGGACTTGTCCACCCTCACCATTGAGGATGTGACAGGCCGTCTGCGAACAATGGACAAGCGCATGGAGTAGGCCACAGCAACGACGGACAGCGGCAAGCTGCTGCTGACAGAGGAGGAGTGGGCTGCCTGGATGATGAAGTCTGGGGAAGCCTCCTCCAGCCGTGGTGACTATGGCAAGGGCCGCGGCAAGGCTTCTTCGGAGAAGAAGAAGGTCGACCTCAACGCCTGCCGGCGCTGTGGGAAGGCGGGCCATTGGGCAAAGGAGTGCCCAAATCGCAAGCAGAAGAAGATAGTTGAGGCTCATTTAGCGCAGGCTGATGAGGATGATGAGGCCACTCTCCTGATGGCGACGTTCTGTGCACTGCACGACGTTAAGGCGAAGGAGAAGGGAGAGGTGATGACGGTGGAAGGGCGCGGCAAGGCTCTGAAGGCTGTCAACCTCGACGAACCGCGCGCCCAAGTCCACCTCAGACGTGTGGGCAGCGAGCAGGAGCAGCAGTGGTACCTGGACTCTGGCGCCAACAACCACATGACGGGCTCCAAGAAAGCCTTCTACGAGCTCGACAGTAACGTGACCGACACGGTGAAGTTTGGTGACGGCTCAAGGGTGGCGATCCGAGGGCGCAGCACCATCATCTTCAGGTGCCAGAACGGTGAGCACCGCGCGCTGACGGATGTGTACTACATCCCGCAGCTGCGTCCAAGCATCGTCAGCATCGGGCAGCTGGACGAGCGCGGATGCGAGGTACTGATCGAGAGCGGGATCCTAAAGATTCGGGATCGGGAGCGGCGTCTTCTCGCGATGGTAAAACGCTCACGTAATCGATTGTACCTGCTTGACTTAAAGGTGGAGCATCGGTGTGCCTGGCAGCACGGCACATCGAGGAGCCGTGGCTGTGGCATGCCCGGTTTAACCATCTCAGCTTCAACGCGCTCGGTCGGCTGGAGAAGATGGTCTGAGGGCTGCCCCACATCAAGCACACAGCGCGGTATGTGGACGGTACTGCTCGCCGGGAAGCGAGAAGGTGCGCGTTCCCAAAAGCGGCCAAATATCGCGCGGGCGACGCTCTCGAGCTCGTCCACGGCGATCTTTGCGGGCCAATCACGCCCGACCACAAGCGGTGGTCGACGGTACTTACTCGCTGCGTGGTGATTGCGCGCGCTATATGTGGTCGCAACTCGACGAACAAGGACGAGGTGGCGGAGGCGATCAAGAGTTCAAGGCGCGCGGTGGTGAGAGCGGCAAGAAGCTGCGTGTCTGTCATGGATCGATCTCGGCAATAATTCACGCCGGCGGAGTTCGCTGCGTCTTTGCATGGGTCGGTGTGGTGCGACACCACACCGCTACCACTTCGCCGCCCTGGTGAATGGCGTGGTGGACCGGCGGAACCAGATGGTGGTCGGCATGGCTCGATCCGTGATGAAGTCCAAGAGCATGCCGGCAAGGTTCTAAGGTGAGGCGGTGACCACGGCGGTGTTCATCCTCAACCGCTGCGCCACCAAGGCCACGAAGGGCAAGATGCCGTTCGAAGCTTGGTATGGGCGAAAGCGAAAGCGTGTCCTTCCTCCGGACATTGGGGCCGCATCGCCACGCCAGAAGACGGGCCGGTCCTCACCAAGTTGGAGGGCGTGAACACACCGATGGTGCTCCTAGGCTACGAGGAAGGTACCAAGCCGTACCAGCTCTACGACCCACGCGGAGGCAAGGTGATTGTCTCGCGCGACGTCGTGTTCAACGAGAAGGCGACCTGGGATTGGGACAGTCCGGGCACGGGGGAAGCTGGCGGCTTCACCAGCACTTTCGTCGTCGTCATCCACGGTGGTGGACACGCTGGAGAGGAAGTGTCGACCACTTCGGCAACAGAGCCGAGCACTCCTGGGGCGCTGCCGAGCACTCCGAGAGGGGTACCGAGCAGGCACTCGGGAGGGTGCCAAGCGGTCTGCGATGGTGCCGACCACTCCAGGATGTCGAACGCTCCCGTAGCGGAGCCGAGAGGTCTTGCAGTGGTGCCGACTACTCCAAGACTGGTGTCGAGCACTCCTGCAGTGGTGTCGAGCACTCCAGGAGTGGTGACGAGCGGTCCAGGAGTAGTGCCGAGCACCGCAATGCCAAAGTTAAAGCACTCAGTCTTTGTCTTGAAACCACTCCCCGTGAACAGGGACTTCATCGACGCCGATCGAGTTCGCCTCACCTCCAAGCGACATCACGAGTTCGTGGATGCTTTCCACGACGGTGAGAGTCGTGGTTCCATGAGCTAGACGACATCGTCGGCGACACGACAGGTCCTCGAGTCTAGCGGGTCGGTGCTTAATGACCCCAGCCGCTTGCTTCGTCGGTGCAGAGGAACCACCCACGTTCGACCCTTTGGCGAGCACGATGCAAATTGGTGACGGCGATGCTAGAGGAGATGAAGGCGATCGAGAAAAAGCGAGATTTGGGAGCTCGTCGAGCCACCTCCGTGATGCCGTCCGATCGGCTGAAGTGGGTGTAGAAGGTCAAAGCGGAGCAGCGCGGCGCCATTGTCAAGCACAAGGCGTGCCTCGTTGTCCGAGGCTTTGTCCGGTAGCGAGGCATCGACTTCGTGGAAGTCTTTCGCGCCGAGAAGCGCATGGAGTCTATCCGACTATCTGCCTGGCTTTGGCAAAGTAGGCGAAGACCGGGCGCGCGTCCATCATCTCGGGACGTAAATCGGCCTTTCTCAACGGTGAGCTGGTGGAGACGGTCTTCGTCAGGCACCCTCCGTGTTTCGTCGTTAAGGAAGCGGAGCATTGGTGCTCGATTGCGCGCAAGACGCTCAC